TTGGATTCTCAGATTGATGACTTCGCTGGTTTCAGCAAAGATGAGCTGATGCAGAAACCTGGTAGCAATGCACCTGTGGGAGGAATCATTACCAGCAATTTCTCTGAAGATGACCTAAAATGCAGAGAAATAGACCCTATTCCCAAAAGCCAAGAAGAAATTAATGCTGATATAAAACGTCAATTAGTGAAGGAAATTCGAAGCATTGGACGAAGTAAGTAGTATGAGAATGTCTGTTTTATAAAACTATAGGAAGTCTCTCTTTCTATGATTCAGAAGATATCCATGTTACCTGTTGAGACTCATTCTTTGCCAGAGTTGAGTTTGCCCATAATTTACGGTAGTTCCTCTTTTCTTTGACTAAACCATAGTACACCTTTTGCTTTGCTTTTCTGCTTGGTTATGGTTAAAAGAGTTTCATTCGTATGTATGTGCAGGTGTCTTTTTATTATTTAGTTTTTGTATGTGCAGGTATCTTGATTTAAGGATTTAAAACATTTTAGCCTGTGAATCATGATTGCTGAGGTATACATTCTCTTGTATTCTTTATATTTGATAATACTGAAGGTTTTTTTTAAACATCTTCAGAATACGAAAAAATCTTCAAATTGCTTGAAGGAGTGCAAGGACCTATAGAAGTCAAGAAACTATTTTTTGAATCCATCATCAAGGAAGCAGCAAGGTGGGTAGAAATAGGAACTGTCCAATTTCTTTAAGCACTTGGGTCCAATAGAGTACTGGGGGTGAGCGTTGGGGAACAGCCCCTGCCTTGAATTTCTCAAACCCTGGTCCTCACTCATAGTTACGGCTGTCTCCACAGTTACTTAGGCTAATGTTATCTGAATCTAACTCATTCTTCGAAGACTATGGAGACTTCCATTCTCACCATAGTCTGAGGTGCGCATTGTCCCTTGATTGACACTCTTTGTATTTGCTAGACTACCTCTTTTTTAAAAATGTGTGTAGGTACGTAGCAGATGCATATATTTCTGGGGTATATGAGATATTGTGATACAGACAACAATGTGTAATAATCACATCAAAGTAAATGGGGTATCTATCACCTCAAGCTTTTATCCTTTGTGTTACAGACAATCCAATTATACTCTTCATTATTTTTAAATGTACAATTAAATTATTACCTACAATAGTCACCCTATAGGGCTATAAAATACTACATCTTATTTATTCTATTTTTCTACCTATTAATCATCCCCACTTCCCACACCGTCCACCCCCACTAACCTTCCCAGCCTCTGGCAACCATCATTCTACTCTCTATCTCCATTAGTTCAGTTGTTTTACATTTTTGCTCCCACAAATAAGTGAGAACATATGAAGTTTGTCTTTCTGTGCCTGGCTTATTTCACTTAACATAACGACCTTCGGTTCCATCCATGTCATTGCAAATGACTGAATCTCATCCTTTTTTTATGTCTGAAGAATACTCTATGGTGTATGTGTACCATATTTTCTTTATCCATTCATCTGTTAGTGGACACTTCGGTTGCTTCCAAATCTTGGCTACTGTGAATGGTGCTGCAACAAACATGGGAATGCAGATATCTCTTCAGTACACTGACTTCCTTTCTCTTGGGCATATACCCAGCAGTGGGATTGCTGGATCATATGACAGCTTCGTTTTTAGTTTTTTGAGCAACCTCCGTACTGTTCTTCATAGTTGTTGTAGTAACTTATATTCCCACCAACAGTGGGTGAAGGTTCCCTTTTCTCCACACCCTCGCCAGCATTTGTTATTGCCGACTAGACTACCTCTTACCGTGCAGATACATTTCTGTTTCCATGCTGACTGTTACTTCATTTTTGTATCCTTCAAAATGCTTCCTACAGCATAGGTTCTTCGGCTATCTTTTGGTTAATGACATGTCTCTTTATTTTCAGATGTATGAGCCGAGACTTCGTTCAGCTCCTTGAGAAGAAACTGGAGCATATGATTTGGGAGTACTTGTCCATGGAGGATTATGACAACTCAAATGCATAATCTCATTAATGATTGAGGAGAGAAAAGGATCAGATTGCTGTTTTCTACAGTGGAGCAGGATATTGCTGAAGTCTCCTGGCATATGTTACTGAATCAAATGGCCTTTCAGAGGCTAAGAAATGTCTGTTAGTAAAAGTTGTTCTTTTTCCCTAAGCATTTCATTTGAAAGAATAACTTGTTTTTTGGTTGTTTTGTATTCCCACCTATGCTGGTAGATATTATTAACCCATTAGGTAAAGACTATTACAGTCGTGGTTTCTGCAGCAGCTCACATTGTTGTAGCTGGTATTTATAACTGCCTTCTTTCACTACCCATTTCGCATTCCCTTTGCCCTGAGATAGCATGTCAGTTGGTCATGGTGCTTGGCCTGGCAGGATGACTCAAACCTTCATCAAACCTTCATTATGGAAGAGTCTGAACCATTAGATATCCTGTCTTGATGGGGTTGCTGTGATTTTCCATTAACTCTAATTGCAAACACGGGAGGACTAGACATATCAGACTTACTCTTCCTGAGCCCCTAGTGTAGTAGAAACCTAATCTCTCTCTTTTTTTTTTTTTTTCGGTTTTCATCACCCGAGCCAGTAGTGGACCCCCTACTTTGTCTCTTGGTTGAAAGGAATGAAGAGTTCAAAGTGGTCAGCTGGCAGACACAATTTTCATTTCAATGGAATCATTTTTGGTTCCCCTGTTGAAAAAATGTCTCAATTTGTAACTAAGACCTCTAGTTCAATAGAGCCAAAAGTTGGTTACTTGAGAGCAAACTTTGCTTCTTGAGCACAAAAAGAAAAATTTGGCTACTAGATACCCAGGAGTAATAGTGAGAGGAGACCTGAATCTTGCCTCTTTCATTCTTGAAGACATAGGTGTTGCTATGGGAGAAATAGTTCCTTATACTTAAGGCTGGGATACAGCATTGCCACCTCTGAGATTGTCAGCCAAGCTCCTCAAGGCACTGCCACAGAGTAGAACTACAGTCAGGCTTTAAAGATCACTCCACTGTTCTATTGAGCCAGCCACTTCAGGATGTTGAGGAACATCACAAGGCTAGTGAAATCCATTAGCATGAACCCATTCCCATACTTCATTTCCTGTCATGTGAGTTTCATGTTGAAAACTGGTGCAGTGTGGTATACCATGATGGTGGATACAGCCTTTCCTAATACCACAGTATTGATTTTCTTGAAGTACCGTGGGTGGGAATGAAAATCCATATGCAGAATAAGTGTCTATTTGAGCAAGAACAAAGTGATGCCCCTTCAATTGTGGAAGCAGACTCAAGTAATCACAGTGCTACCTGGAAGCTGAGTGACCACTCTGGGACATGGTGCCATACTGGGGACTCAGTGTTGGTCTCTACTGCTGGCAGATTGAATAGTGAGCAGTGGCTGTAGTGAGATGGACCTGGTAAGTGAAAGTTCATGTTGCCAAACCCATGAATAATCTTTATGTCAGCCACCATAATGATGATGCACCATTACTGCTTAGAAGATAGAAGGGTGCACCTAAGGAGGTATGGAGGTGGCTCAAGTAGCTTAGAGTGGCCTCAGCCAAGACCGCAAGTATACGGCTACCTCAGTTCTACAACTTTAAGAAGTTAGACCTGCCCATAACCCAAATCAGCTTGAAAACAGTATCTCTCTGAGTCCTCAATTAGTCAGCAGCCTAGTTGATACCTT